GTCTCAGGAGGTCCTGGCAGTCAGGGGCCCGGAGATTTCAGCAGACATGTCTCAGAGGACAAGGCTGGGCCCACAGTGGGTTCCCCAGTGGATCTCGTCCTGACTTTTTTAAGCCAGAGATCAACTTCGGAAAGATGCGATCTTCCCCATGGGGATCATACTGAGGAGAAAAAAGACTTTATCCAAGCTCTTCTCCTCCAGATAAATATCCCCGAGTATCCTGAGTCATAAGAACAGTTTTGTCATTTTTCTGAGCCATTTGCCAGTGGACAGATGGAATGGATGGCTTTTGGGAGGAGATGTGGAAGGGGCTGAGTCAAACTTTCTGGTGGCCCCTGGTGGGTCGTACTCTCGGCTCGGTCCGACAGGAGCACTTCCATGTCGTTGTCCCAGCCACCCCTCCTAAGCTGGACGGATGAGGGCATCTGGGCTGGAATATCAGATGAGTAGGGTTGACCAACGCCTTTGAAAACAGGGAGCAAGAAATGATTCCCAGAGAAGGCTGTCCCTTCCCTGAGTGGCCACACTGGAGCACCTGGGGTTTCTCTGACATGTTTGGGGGGAGGGACGGTCAGGTGGGAAGTAGTGACTCACCTGGCTTTGAGCTGATGCTGTGTGTCCCTCACTGGACCTCCCTATGTGTCACTCACATGCTTGTCATTCAGGACAGGGCTTGGACACACATGGCCTTTGTTACAGACGGTGTAAGTACGAGCGTTTGCTGTTACTCCCTCCAAAGCGATGTGGGTTGAACTGACGTATTTTCAGTTTAATCAGGCAGACACAATCAGAATGGACATGTTAAAAAAAATTCTAGCTTTAGTTTCACCCACTGGAGCCAAGATATTTATTAGAGCAATTTATTCAAATTAGTATATTTTTATTACAGGCAATCATCTGCCTTGAGCAGCTGTCCATGGTTCTGGCATTTTATGACCAGCATGTGCTGTAGCATCATGTTCTGTTCTCAGGGCCCCACGAAGAGAGGGTCAGGGGTTCCCCACCATGTTAACATTACTTCTCTCCACACATTTCACTCCCTCCTTCTCTAAGTGGGTGGCTGATGCAGGTCTAGCTGGTGGCACCAGGAACCCCGCACCACAGTTACCTGAGAAAGGACATGATCCTGCTTTCTCTGCTGGCTGTGAAGGATGCGGTGACCCTGGCCTGCATCTTACCTTGGGGTACGCCTGGCTGCTGTACCTTGGGGAGGGCACAAAAGAATTCAGGTAGCATGTTCATCTCAGTTGCCAGGAGCCCCAAAGACACGTGGGCCTCTAACCATGTTTATTTCAGAGGCTATGTCCCGTGCTGCCAAGCTTCCCACCCTGCCCCTTGAAATGAAAACTAAGGCACCAGATGGGTTCTTCCCAGAAGAAGCAGCACAGGCCCACCCTCCTGCCTCTCTGGAAACAACCTCGGCTGTTTATTAGGAGATGTGGTTGTCATGGTGATGAGTGGTTGGAGGGATTTAGAGAAGATGTGGGCATGGAGGGAAGGGTGGAGCCTGGAGAAGCTATAGGGAGAAGTTGCCATTATAAGTGGACCCAAGACCTTGTGTTGCCCATGGTCACCGCACACTGTGGCCCCACCCTGAGGTGTCCTGTGGATGAGTGTGGGGCACCGACCTCAAGCCTGTGTTCCCCTGGCCAAACCCTAACCCCTTGGAGCTGCGTCCCCTGGGAAGAATACCTCTCTCACTTGCCACAAGGTGAACAGCAGTCTTTGTGTCACCTTTTCCCATCATGTATTTGGCACCTCGATGAGAGTCTGTTGCCACGTTTAGGGCCGGCTTTCTGCCAGAAAAATTAGGTTCCACCCCAAGCTGTAACATCCATAGAAGGAGTGTTACCTTAATCCTTCCAGGGTGCTACAACAGAACGTCATATACCAGGGGACTTAGAAACAGCAGACATTGCTTTCTCACTGTTCTGGAGGCTTCAAGTCCAAGATCAAGGCACCAGCAGATTTGGTGTCTGGTGAGAGCCCACTTTTATAGACAGATGTCTTTTAAGTCCTATGCAGTAAGGATGGGGGAGCACTCTGGGGTCTCTTTTATAAGGACACTGATCCCATTCCTCGGGGCTCCACCCTGACGACCTCGTCTAATCCTAATCGTCTCCCTATGACCCCAGCTCCTAACACCACTCCTTGGGGGTCAGGCTTCTACATCTGATTTGGGGGAGGACACAAGCATTCAGTGTGTAGTAGGTGTGGTTGACCCCGCTTTCATTTTTTGGTTAGTTGATTTGTTTCTTGGGGGTTTTTGGAGAATAACTAGGGCCCGTTTGACTCCTAGGAAAAAAGGGCGGGTCTTCAGGAAATGAAGTTCATGAACTCAGCCTAGGAAAGGTCTCAGGTTAGAGGTTTCAGACCAGTGAGTAAAATGCTGACTCTAAGTGGACCATGAAATAGACAAGAGGACAGGACAGTAGAGGGTTGCTTGGGGGATGTGCCACATTACAGTTTTACTTACAGCTCTTGGGAGCAGCATTGTAAGTGAGAGACCTCTCTGGACCTATGGGAGGTTTTTTGTGGTGTGTCTGGTCTGTAGCAGGGCCATGGGACCAGTCCATTGGGAGTTCAGGAATGAGCCTGGCTCCACTGGGACCCTGGCAGGAGTGGGCCTCTCCAGGCTCAGCCCTGCAGGGAGGGCACTGTCCATGCAGCTTCATCAGCACGGGATCCATGGGGGAGGATCACAGTCCTGTCACCCAGAGGAGGATATCAGTCCCAGAAGAGGGCTGTGACAGGGAGAGCAGCGTCCCAGCAGTGCAGACAAACCAGAGCCCCCAGCCCCACCTTGGGATGGACTGGGACAGCGGGGCAGGGTCGGGGCCCCCCATGTGGTCTGGGAGCTCACAGGGCATAGGGGTCAGGGCAGTCCTTTGGGTGCCAGCAAGGAAGCAGGGAGCAACCAGACATCTGATGCACCTGAGCCCTAGCTGTGCCCTGAACCCCCTTGGCTCCCAGAAGGCCCTATTTCTTCCACGGATTGAGCAAGCCCTGATGTCAGCAGGATGTTGCTATGCTTTCCCTCCTTCCTCGGTGCACAAATCTTCCCCATCCTTAAAGCCCAGCCAGACTCTGTCCATGTCCTGTTGGAGCCACCCTCCTCCGCTCCCATGGCCTCTGAAATCCAGTGGTGTCTGTAGTCACGGAGGGGACACTCAGCCAGGAGTCCCTGGTCTGCCTGGTCCATCGCACCTCCCTATTCCCATCAGTGTTAAGAACGGGCGGGAGTGGGGGTGCTTTTCATTTTTCTCTAATCCCTGCAGAGAAATTGAGTGATGTCACAGGATGTGACAGTGACAGTGACAGTCGAGGGCAGGGAAGATGCGACACATTTCTGTGCCACCAGTGCCTATGGGAACCTGGCCATTAGTGTCCACATGTGGGGCCCCAGTCCTCTCACCTGTAAAGTGGGAGAGGGAACATCTGTCTCACATGGGAAAGGATAATATTCCTTAAGTTATTTATAAACAAATGTTATTTATAAATACAAATAAATCTTACATGAGAAAGGCTGTTATAAATAATATATATACATATTTATAAATATATAAGTAACTTAGTTATAAATAAATATAATGTAGATGTAAGTATGTTCATACTGATAATATCAATAAAACTTATTAATGTCATTGTCATCATCATAGTGCTACTGCTTGATGATTTATTGCCAAAAAGTTCTGGAACTTGACTTAATGTGCGGGCTCACCAGCATCTCGTCTGGGGTTTGGACAGTGATTCCAGTGCTGTGGGTCTGGTGTCTTTCTTCTGGATGGTACAGGGCAACAAGTAGAGGAAATAGACCTAAACTTGAAATTTTGCTCATTTTGAAGTAAGAGAAATTTTGGTTTGATGTCTCCTTTAAGAGAAGATTTATGACATGTCCTTGGGATTTTTTTTTCTCTAGTGGTAGATTGACTAATTTGCATTAATGAAATAATTTAGATTTTAGAGTTTGCATTTGACTAAGAATTTAGGGGTTTTTTTAGAAATATAATTTTGACCCTTGGACACTGTTGGTGGAAATGTAAAATGGTTTAGCTGCTAGGAAAAACAGTGAGGTATTTCCTCAAAAGATAAAAAGTAAAATTACCCTATGATCCTGTAGTTCTACTTCTGGGTATATATATATACCCAAAGAATTGAAGGCAAGGACTCTAAGAGATATTTGTACGCCCATGTTCACAACGGTACTGTTCTCGATGGCCAAAAGGTTGGAGCAATCCAGGTGTCCATGGATAGAAGAATGGAAAAACAAAATGCAGTCTGTACAAAGGGTGGAATATTATTCAGCCTTGAAAAGGAAAGACTTCCTGACACCCGCCACAATAGTTGAACTCTGAGGACATTGTGCTCAGTGAAGTCACAAAAAGACAAATCTTGTATGATTCCACTTCTATGAAATACCTAGAGTAAATTGACAGAGACAATTGGTGATTGCCAGGGGCCAGGGGCAGAGGGAAGAGGAAGTTAGAGTTTAATGTGGACAGAGTTTCAGTCTTATAAGATGAAAAGAGTTCTGGAGATGGGTGACAGTGATGGCTGCACAATAACGTGAAAGTATTAATGCCATTGAACTGTTGTTAACAATGGTTATTTAAGATGGCCGATGTTATGTTATAGACATCTTACCACAATTAAGAATAATAATAAAGGAGGAGGGTATAGCTCAGTGGTAGAGTGTGTGCTTAGCATGCACGAGGTCCTGGGTTCAATCCCCAGCACCTCCATTAAAAAAATAAATGAATAAATAAACCTAATTACCTATCCCCCAAAAGAATAATAATAAATAATAACTTTTTAGAAGTATGAAAGCATATGTTATGGCAGAAAAGCTCAATTAAATTATATCTGTCTGCAACCAGATACATACCTCTAGACACATGCATTTTACCAAATTGTATCATATTGTATCTCCAGGTGTGTATCTTGGTTTGTTTTTCTAACACCTGAAAACACCATCTTGACCTTTAACTTCCGGTTTACAGGTTTGCAATGGTTTGGAGCAGCCACGGAAGCAGCAGCGTTCTGATCTCAATGGACCAGTTGACAATAACAACATCCCAGAGGTAACTTTTCCAAGGATGAGGGTTCTCGCCAAGGGTCCTGACGTTGGAGCTGCCTGCCCCGTACTTTCTCTGCTCGCCTTCTGCAAGATGGTCCTGTCCCACCTGGATGCCTGGGAGGGAGGGAGGAAGTCTGCTTAAGCAAAGTCTGGTGTCCCTGTTGGAGGAGGTGGTGAGGGCCACTGGCTCTGGAGGAGGAGGAGAAGGCCCTTTCCTGTGGATCCAGGCCCCCACTGTGGCGTGTTTGTGTTTTGCCTGTGGTGCGTGGGGCGGGGGGTCACCGGTGCTCCCCGATTGGACAGAAATTCACTCTATCCTGTTATCTAACAATCATGTCCTAAAACAAGGTTACTCAGCGGAGGCACCATTGACATCTGGGACCAGATCTTTCCTTGTGAAGGGCTGTCCTTTGCATCCCTGTCCTTTACCTACTAGGTGCCAGTAGCAACCCTCCTCCCCAAGTTGTGACCACCAAAGATTCTACAGATATTGCCAAGTGTCCCCTTGGAGACAAAAACCATTCAGACAGGAGAACCACTATCCTAACTGACTACGTGATTTAAAAAAACAATCCCGTGTGTACACCGCCATGATGGAGGTTATTAAAGTGAGGCCTTAAGCAGGTGATTTTCCTTTTCTGGATTACATAATCCGGATGAGATTTTTCTAACTTTGATGAAATAACTATGACCACCCATGGTGTGGTGTCCAATCGCCTTTATCTTGGTTTTAAAGATATGCCCTGGTAACATTCTTTTTCTTTTCTTTCTTTTTTTTATACTTTTTTTTTATTGAGTTACAGTC